TAGTAATTGGCTTTGTCTACTCGAGCTGCTCTTTGAAATCTTCTGTTCAGCTCTTTTACCTTTTCATTTCTTCCATTTACTTTAGCTATTCTCCGCTCAAGGGCAAGATTCAGAGTCTCTTCTGTCATCCACTTTGGTCTCCTCTTCTTTTCTTGTCTTTTTAGTGATCTCTTGCTTTCTTCATGGATAATGTTCTTGGTATCTTCCCATAAGAATATGTACACGTGTTCCAATTTATAATATAATAACATTGGAACATGTACACGTGTTCCAATTTATAATAAACAGGAGTACATCCTTACATAATACTCAAAAGTATTAAAAGAAGAAGTTATTTAAACATGTTCATAGCTGTTTCTTAAAAGGGCAAAGTTAACCAACAGTCCTAACTGATAATCCTCACCCTACAGTTGTATCTAGGCGTATATATCAGATACTCCCCTTCCTTCTGGACAACGACAAACCCAGCAGGAAAGAAAAAAACACGTCCATATTTCATTAGGAAGTAGTCAAATCCCCTTTTCTCATGTACATTTTAGAAAGGTTGGGTTTTTTGTTTTTTTTTTTTCATTTTAAAACTATAAACCTCAAGAATAATTTTGCATAAATCATTTCATTTTCCAATAAATTACAATTCCTAGAAATTAAAATTTTGCAGTTGTATTAGTCTGCCTCACATGCTGATCTGACTTTCCCTGATATTTCTCTTTTCTTCGTTTTTGATTTTGCTCTTCCCTTTCAACTTTTCACCTATTCCCATCCCTTAATTTTTCTCTTTTGCCTTTCAACCTACTTTCCTTCAGCAAATCTCTTTTTATAGCTTCTCATTCTACAAAGCAAAAGCAAAGATTTTCCTACAAAGATACAAGTAAAGTGGAGAATACAGAAATAAAATTCAGAATTTGAAAGTACTAGCAAAACAATATTGCCGATCAAATATTTCCAGTCAAAGGTTTTCCAATCTTCCAGATACTGATAATGCTTGAATGTCAGAATGCTAATAAACAGAGTTCTGACCCTGTAAGCAGCACTTTTTTGCAGAAAATAGTATCAAAATATTAACTAAATAAATAATTGTGAGGTTTAGTTTTCTACTTTCAAGTTGTCAGCAAATAAGATGTCACACATTTGTTTAAATGATAATAATTAGGCCTCCCATAATGACTGAAGAAAACAGTATTTTATCTTCACATCAATGTCAACTTACATACATTTTTTAAAAACTTAGTAAGATCCTCTATTAAACAAAAAGTCCCAAACATTTAGAGAGATTATCGTTGGCATCAGAGATTATTGAGAAAATAACCACTTAAATATTCTTAAGAGTAACTTCAAAATACTTCTAAAACCATAAGCTTTCATAATATTATCCTTTGCTTACTACCATCAGCTCCACACACCAAAGCTGACACCATGGCCCCTAGTGGACAGAGATGGAAAAGAATTTACCTGTGAGGAAATTAGAGACTGAACTATAGATCATAAATAAAAATAAATGATTCCCAATTACTTTCTAAATGTACATTATAATCAACTTTAACAATATTCAACTTATTTTTACTGGAAACATACATGAGGTATTATAACACTGTGTAATGGACAGTGTTTACATATAGGCAGTTCCCATGATGTGAACAAATTCTATTCCTAAATTTGTCTTTAAGTTGAATTTGTACATAAGTCGGAACAGTGAGGTATGGTTCATATCTAACATCAGTCTATGTTCCGTAGTATATAGTATGTAGTATCAAACCACTGAGAATCATGGCCCAGCCACGTGGACACACATTTTTGGGGACACAATTCAATCCATGAACTTACCTTGCCAATAAAAGCTACCAGGACCTCCCAGAAGTACTCTGTCAGCCTAGATTGAGTCAAACAACAAAAAGATGCACATTTAAAAACAATGAGTTTTAGTGGCTTTCATTGTACTTTTCTCAAACACCATAAAAACTGAAAAATAAAGTTATAATACATTCTTTTAATATGTGGAAAATATGCCAATGTATATATAGAGATATATAGAGGGTCTTAGATCCTTTGTATACTTGCTATGAAGTATTATTACAAAGTCTATTGTTTACACAGGAAAAAAAGATCACCCTTAATTTTGTGCATTAGGTTTGACACTATACAAGCAAATTCTCTCTTTAATAATCATTAAGGAACTTTCTCTTCTGCTAAAGGAAAACTATTTCTAGTGTCTGACAAATCTAGATGAGTGAAGTAAAAGAGTAAGTTTTCCCGAGTATACTGTATAGACAAATTATACTTGACTAGCATTTCTTACATCTGTAACAAACTAATTGATAAAATATTTAAGCATAATATTTTAACAGTTTATTTTTGTTGAAGGTATTTTTTTTCCTCCAAATGTACATATATCCATTTTCAAGCTTTCAACAGACAAACTCTTGCCATATAAAAGATACTTCTAAGATGTGTTATTGACAATTTAATGACATCTTGAACATGATACCTTTCTTTTCAGGAGTAAGTTTTAAAAAGTGAACAATTAATTTAGCAATGACTTCATGGTATGGAAATAGTTCTGAAATTACAGTGAACAGGCATGGATACAGAAAATAAGGACAGTTCTTTTTAAAATACAATACTTACTTTAAAATAAACATGTAATTTTTAATCCAGTATTTATCAATATACTTTATCTCTCTTTGACTACCTTAATATTTATAATTATGAATAATGCCATATCAAATTGAGTGAATTAAAAATCAGTGACCTGATATTGAGGGTTACTGTAATTATCAGTATCTAATCTAGGAAAAAATATTGCCATAAAAATTAAATATGAACTTTTTTAATAAAAGTAAGAAAGGTAAGTTTTTCTTTATCACAGGATTATAGTTTCTACTGTTTTCATAAATGTAAGACACTCCTCTTTGTTCATATTTTCTAAGAAAGCCATATCCTAAGGGACTTTATTTTTAATCAATCAATATATTCTTGGTACTTTTCTAGATGAAAATAATACTCTCAATTTGACAGAAAATATTCAAAGTGTTCATATACCCCCTCAACAAAATTATACTTAAGAAAATAGATGCTTGAAAATATAAAAGTAATTCTTACTTTAGAAAACTAGATCAAAACTATTAACTCTGAAAAGTTATTATTATAGTTAAAAATACAGTGAGCCCTGCACTTGAGATTTCTTGTAATTATTAAATTGCTTCATCATCACTTGATGCCTGTAGGTCCATAAGACCAAACCAAACCAAACTCACTGCCATCGAGTGAATTGTGACTCACAGTGGCCCCCACTGGGTTTCCAAGACTGTGTATCTTTACAGAAGTAGAATGCTTCATTTTCTTTCTGCTTCATTTTCTTTCTGCAGAGCAGCTGGTGGGCTTGAACCACTGACCTTACGGTTAGCAGCCAAATGCCTTACCCACCATATCACCAGAGCTCCTTAGGCTCATAAGAGATGGCTAAAATGCATGTTCCACAGCTTTTATGTAACTAAATCTAATTTGGTAATAAAGCTCCTATTGATAACCTTTGTGAAAAAACAATTTCATTCCAGCATAGAAAAGTTTGATACTCTACAAATTAATAGTTACTATCATGTACTGAAGGTTGGGCAATCTACTTCCACAGTGATACTGCCTTGGAAACCCAAGGAGGGGTCGCTATGAGTTAGTTGGGTCCGACTCGATGGCAAACAACAACAACAACAACATCATGTACTGAGGAGATTCTCTACTTGCTTTCATACTGATTCTGAATTGTCCCAATTTCAAATAAACATTATCTTCTGGGGAGGGAAGGACTAATGTAAGGCAGAGAATGTTACATAACATGGGCCGTCCTTATTAGCTCTTTTCATAAAACAGGTCATGGTTTTCAGAAGCTGAAGGATTAATCAATATACTTTTAACTATGGTTTGAACGACAAGGTAGCTCTGAATATCATTTGAGCTTAAATGAGAACTTACTTTAGTAAAATCAATGCTGAATCCTCCTTGACAAAATCCCTGCCCATCAGCATCGATATTTTCTAAAATAAAAAGATTGTAAATATACACAAACCCAAAAACAAACAAATAACACAAAACCAAACATGAGAAAAATCTGGTATCACTAAAGTCACAAGATAGCATACTAGTTTTGGGAATGTTCATTCACTCAGGCTTTTCACCAGTTGTTACCACATTCTAATAAAGTGAGAATGCATGTTTATCAGCACCATTTTCTAAGATATGGACATGGAGAAAGATTCAAGTACTTGGACCAGACACTAGAGAACAGAAAGATCACCTAAGAGGTGGAGTTTCCAGAATTTTTTTAAACCACAACCAGTAGCAAGATTCTATTTTATATAACAACTCACACACATAGTGTGTATTTTGTTAAAAAAACAATACAACCTGCTGCCATCATTTCAATTCCAACCCATGGCAATCCCACGTGTGTCAAAGTAGAACTGCACGCCGTAGGGTTTTCAATGGCTGTCATTTGACAGGAGTAGATTACCAAGCCAAACTTTTCATTAGCAGCCAGGTGCTTAACTGTTTGAGCTACCCAGGGACTCCTATGTATGTATAATATATATCACTAAAATAAAGCTTCATAAAATAGTATCATCAATACTATATACAATAAACTCTGATATTTTCTACTTTATTCTTTTTCTTTCCTTTTCTTTTCTTTTTTTACAGTTACTGGTTGGGACCCAGTACACTGATTTCATAAAACACTAAATGTTTGCAATCGGCAAACTGAAATTCCACTCAGAAATTCTTCTCTTACTATTACCCTACAATTGGTATGTTTTGCTAAATTATTATGAATCCTAGAAAAGAGACACATGAATTACTAATATATACATTTTCCTTCAAATGCACTTAAAAATATTATACCCAATAAAGAAAAACAATTTAAAAAAAAACACCACAGCATTTCAGGAAATGGCAAAACCCTAACTGAATGTTTCACAAAGCCCAAAATATGAAATATCCTCTCGGTACATTCAGTTGTTCTTGTTGGCCATTGAGTTGACTCTGCCTCAACATGACCCTATGTGACAGAATGGCTCCACGGCGTTTCCTAGGATGTAACCTTTACAGAAGCAGATCACCAGATGTTTTCTCCCACAGAGTGGCTGATGGGTTCCAAACTCCAACCTTTTGGTTAGCAGCAAAGCGGTGAACCATTGTATCACCACGGTTCCTTCAACATGTTTAGCACTGAGGTCTATGTAAATGGACATCTTTAAATGCAATACTTTTAAATATTTTCCAATCAATAGTCCATTCAAGAGTTTTGCTTTTTGTAGTTACTTCCTTTTTTTGTACTTCTCACAAAGGAGGGCTAACTCTGAATATTAGAAAATTAATACAAATAAACTTTAATCATAAGCAATACTATACACCTAGAAGCAGAAGCAAATAAAAGATTCCTCCCTTGTTCTGTTTTGAGAACAACAAGGAACAATAGAACATTATTCTTCAGTTATCAAATAATTCTTTTAGGTAATGTTACAAAATATAAATTCAAAAGCTATTTTATATTTTTACTGTATTTGCCACCCAAATACAGGAACCAAAAATACCTATTTTCAGTCATAAGGAGGGCAAACTCCAAGAATTTTTGTCAAATAATCCCATCAAAAACTTTCAACTCAATTGAAAAACTTGGTAACTGCCCAAGATTACACACTTAATATCCAAATTTAGAATATGTTTTAGAAAATAGCCTCAGGAGTGTAATCTTAACCCAATGTAAACTTTTCTAACCAAGAGGGAGGGGAAAATGTGGGGCCGGGGTTTCCAGAGTCTAGTGAATCAGACTAAGGAATTCTTGCTCTGACCTCAAGTCAACCATTTATTTCCTTTATTCATGTTGCATCTGGGGAACTATTTTGGGCTGTTTATAAAGGCATTCTTTTTTGATTAGCACACTGTACAATTATCTGCTTTAGTTGGTCTCTCAGAATCTTCAGCCAAAAAAATGACTATCCTTTAAAATGTTTGTAGCAGGTAAATATTAACTGAGTGTTTATGCCAATTTAAAGAATTTTATGTTGAATGTGGACTATTTCAATGAAGGCTTTGGTGTTTATTTCTAGAGACAACTAATAACTTCTCAATTTTTTCAAGTCTGACAATGATATTATAAATAGCAATACAGATTATGATAGTAAGAGCGGCTAATGTTTTTAAAGTCCTTACTGTGAGCCAAGTACTGGGCTGAGCATTTTTTTTTTTTTTTTTTAATAATTGTGATTTGGGTGAAAGTTTACAGAACAGATTGATTTTCCATTCCACAATCCATATACATTCTATTTTGTGACATTTACTGCAATCCCCACTCTGTAACAGCATTATTCCCACTTCCTCCCTGCACCCATGCCTTCCCTTCATTCTTCTTTCCCATCCCTTCATGCCTTCCCAGCTCTGTTCCCAGACATATGCTGCCTTTTTGATCTCATGTGGTTGATTATTCTAATGAGTGCATATCCTCATGATATTACTGTTTACCTTACAGGCCTTTTTATCATTTGGCCGCCAGCTGAGTCATCCGGGTTAAGGTCAGTTCCTAGCTTGAAAGGTGCTAAGGGTCATGGACTTGAGGGTTCTACCAGTCTTCATCAGACCTGTAAGCCTGGTCTTCTTTATGAAGTTTAGTTTTGGTCTACATCTTTCCCTACTCTACCTGGGACCTCTTATTGTGATTCCTTTCAGAGTAGTTAGCAGTAGCTCATGGGCACAATCTAGTTCTTCTGGTCTCAGGGTCATGGAGGCTGGGGTTCACGTGCTCCATCAGTCCTTTGGACAATTGTTTCCTGTGTCTCTGATTGTCTTCACGCTTCTTTGCTCCAGACAGGGGAGAGATCAATAGGTGTACCTTAAATGGCTGCTCACAAGCTTTTAAGACCCCAGCTGGGGTCTTAAACATAAACATTTTACATGACATTATCTTTTTAATCTTTAGAGCAATCCTATGAGATATACTATTATTATTCACAATTGGCAGATGAGGAAACCAGTGCTAAGGGAATTTAAGTAACATAACCATGGTCAAAAAACCCCCCACTGTCATCAAGTTGATTCTTACTCATAGTGACCCCCATTGTTTCCAAGGTTGTTAATCTTTATGGAAGACGATTGCCTCATCTTCCTCCCACAGAACAGCTGGTGGATTTGAATGACCGACCTACTGGTTAGCACCCAAATGCCTTACGCACTATACCACCAGAGCTCCTAACTATGGTCAAGGAGCTAGTAAATAAGAGAGTGTGAAGCTGAACCTAGGTCTGTCTATAACACTCTGCTGCACTGTCTCAAAAACAATGCACTTTATGCATATGTTTTATGCCTGATAATGAATAGAAAGAAGAAAAAGCCAGCTAGAAACCCTAACAAAAAAAATCTATCTACAAATAATATAATCAGAAAGTAAACAGAGAAAACAAAAACTCAGTCTGAGCATGAAGTTAAAGAGTATTTAAGTCATATGATTTCAGGGAGAGGCACACAGAACAGAAATACACCTGGCCTATTGCATAAAGCCAGGAATGGACATAGATATAGTCAGGAAAAGTCGGAGGCAAACATAATCAGCAATAAGGTTCAGTTGGTGATAGACAGTCAAGTTCCTTGCCATGGTTATCCACATAGGTCATGTTAAAAACCAAACCACCCGGGAGAAAATGCAGAACAGAATTTCAAATTCTCATGGTCTCCACACTTCCTGGATAAACCCCTGAAACTATTGCCCTGAGACAGTCTTTAAAAATATCCCCTGCAGTCTTCTTAAAACCAAACAACAATTTAGCTTGCCTTGTAAAGAATGTCTGCCTTGAGCACTGTGCTCTTTTAAGAACTATCTGCATAGGATCATACTGACAACAGCAACTCTAAAGATTAGACAGGAACTTGAGGAGGCAGTGAGTTTACATTAATGGGGAGGAATAAGAGGGTGAGTGTAACTGTACCACTTGAAGAATGTAATCAATGTCACTGAATTGTACATGTAGGAATGATTGAATTGGTATGTGCTTCACTGTGTATATTCTCAACAACAAAATAAGAAGCAAAGCAAAAACAAACAAACAAACAAAAGCACATAGAAGCTACTACCACCAACAGTACCACATGAAGGCAATCAAAGCCATCAAGAAGTTAGCAGTGTAGCCATACAAAACTGGCATCACCACATAAAACCCATCACTGGGTTATTTTAATTTACTGACATATGATGAGGAAACAAAATACTCAAATTATACCCCTGAAGTCTTTAGTCCAAAACAGTATTTCACCAATAATAAACAAGGGCCTGACTGGTTAAGTGAATCACCCTCAGCTATAGGCAGGCCATCAGCCAATGGGAGAATATAACCCAAGCCAATTTCCCATTCCTGAGCACCTTTTCTCTGGACAGGCTGTCCACGTAATTTGGGGCTGTTAGAAAACAACCTGTTGCCGTGGAGTCAGTTCCGACTCATGGTAATCCCATATATGTCAGAGTAAAACTGTGCTTCACAGGGTCTTCAATGGCTGATTTTTTGGGAGATCATCAAGCCTTTCCTCTGTGAACCAGAGCCTCCAATATTTTTCTTAGCAGCCAAACACATCAAACATTTGCCCTGCCCAGGGACTTCAATTTGGGCCTGCAGGTAGCTTACTATTTCCAAGGTTTAGTCAAAAAATGTGTACAATAATTATGGGATACTGGAAGGTAGGCTTATTAGGAAGAAAGACACTTTGCTTTCAGTGAGGTTGTTCTTTCATAGTTTTTCTAAGATTTGAGGTTTCAATAATGAGATCAGGGGTCAGCAAGCTTTTTCCGTAAAGGAGCCAGATAGTAAATATATTAAACTTCGTGGATCATACAATCTCTGTGGCAAGTATTAGATTCTCACTGTTGGACACTCCCATTATAGAAAAAAATGTAAACAAATGGGTGTGGCTGTGTACCAATAAAATTTTATTTAGAAAAATGGACCCACAGGTTATAGTTTGCTGTCCTGATATGGGTCTGACTTAAGAAAATAAAGTTTAAAATGGTTTTTACAATGTTTGTATCTAAACTTAATAAGTGAAAACATGATATGATAGATAGATCATACTGCCTCACTCCTTTAAAAACGTGTTTAGAAAAGAACTAGTCATTACTGAAGATGCAAAATGATGAAAAGTACTAGCCTAATGTGACAGGGGATCATTAGAGTACTTGTTCTCAGGGTTCCTCACAGCCTTACACAGCTGAAATGGAAAACAGGCTTGATTGTTAGTAATGAAGGGAAAAGACTCCTTTGGAATTAGACATACCTGGGTTCAAATCCTCATTCAGGCTACTCACTAGCATTGTTGTTGTTGTTGCTATGTGCCATCGAGTCAGACCTGCACTGGCATTAGATGTGGTAAAAAACTATTTCAACTGTCTGAATCTTAGTTTCTGTGTCCATCAAATGAGAATGAGGGTTTGAGTTATATGCATCACATAAAGAAGTCACAAGTCTGGCACACAGGGGTTAGCTCATTTTAGCTATAAAGTATCTTTTCATCATAAGAACATTTTTGCAATACAGAAACTAACAACACAAATTTTGTCCTTAATTTTTCCATACGCCATCAAAGACTACAGTCCCACAAGCAAAATATGTAGAGAAGGAGATGGCATCAGGCACCGCTGATAAACCTGCCAACTTCCTCCACGCAGTATAGGCTGTGGTTTCTGACCTTGTGTTTACTATATCCCAGCAAGTGTCTGCAGTTCCTGGTAGGTACCATTCTTTTAATGTTAATTTTCCACTCATAAAAATGGAGTCAAGGTGATGGGCTAAGAAAATAAGTATTTTATAAAGTCATTTTTAATTTCTGAGGTTCAACTGCCTAGAATTTTGTAGACTGAGTAGTTCCTTTGACCTAGAGTCACAAGTTGCCTAACATGGAAAAGAAGAATCTACAGTAAGAATCTTAAATTTTGTACTTTTATTACTAATTTTCTTTACTAAACTATTTGATGACTAGTGGAAAACAAAAAAGAACAGCACAAGAAGTGCTCCAGGTGTGACAATTATCGAAATGGCAAATGTCTTGTTACATACTTATCACAATGAAAAAAAAAAAGTGTTCCACATACAAACACCTAATGTATTTCAATAATCTACTTTCATGCTTCTGGTATAAAGATGATCTGCAGATCTGCAGTAATAACCGGCAAGAGGATCTGAACCTCCAAGGGAAAAGGGGCGTTCACAGTTTGGAAAGCATAATCAAAGCTATAAATCAAAACTCAAAATCATTTGTAGTTACAATAATTCATTAGAAATTTTAAATAATATTAGAGGACAGCACAGGATTTTCTGGATCATCAAAACAAGGATAAACTTGATGATAAATTAATAAAGAAACTCTGATTAAGAGCAAGAAATAACAGACTCAGAGTTCTGAGCTCACTGTTTCACCCTCCGATATGAACTCTGGCTCTTTATCATGACTAACATCAAGCAGTTCACCCTCCAACTTTAGTATCCATCAGACTCCCTTACAGACTCTGTTAAATACACATGTGCCCAGGTCTGGCTTAGACCTATTGAACCAGAATCTTTAGGTGTGGAGGCCCAAGCATTCTCTACTAAAAGAGACTTAGTTGAGCTCTATGGACTAATAGTGATTAAAAATATAGCTTTTGAAACTGCACATTAATTACCACTAACCAAGGAAGATGAAAATTAGTTTTTAGGGAAAAAAGATAAAACTGTTTATTGCACATACCTACTAGGATTTTTTTCATTTTTTTCTCATCAAATATCACATATGTGTACAAATTTTATACACAAACTTTGATTCCATGGCAAACTCACAGAGAACCTCCCCACACACATTTTTAACAAACTAGGCTTCACACCCATCTTAATAGCTGGTACAACTTCCTGTACATACTTGATCTACACGGAGCATACTCAACAGTCTTTGTTCCATCTTGAAGAAAGCATGTTCCAACAGGCTCTCTCTCCTGTTTCATTTCAGTTCTCCAGTGGTATAGTGGGGCACAGGCCTAAAACCAAAGGGCATAGTTCATGACATAGAAACTCTCTGAAAAAAATTAGCATTTCAGACAATCTTACTAGCTCAGAATATAACATCACTTTCTAAGCATTAATAAAAACTAATAAATCTACCCTGTACCTAAAGGGCTGCTATGAGTTGGAATTGACTCAGTGGCAGTAGGTTTTTTGTTTTTCACACCTTAAACTTCACATAATAGAACTGTTTTTTGAATGCTGTATTTATAGTCCAAATACAATAATTTTTTTTCAAAATAGTTTATAAAATAATTATTTCAGGTGTCATGAGCTCAGCTGAAAGTCACAGACTGAACTGATTCTTGAACTATAGATAACACTTTCATGCAAAAAGGAGGCATTTCATTTATTATGTAAGAAATAGAATGTGGCACTTCCTTTATTTAAGTGTGATTTGGGTGAAAGTTTAAAATATAGCACTCCTTTTATTCATTTGCCAAATAACCTAAGATTATTTTTGTTTTTTGAGTTATAGATTTCAATACCATATATAAAGCAGTAGAATAATGCATGTTTTACTAATACAGTGATCCACTGAAAGTGCCGCACAACTAAATTTACTGAAAACATTTCAGTGGATTTTCTGTAATACTTTCTGAAGCGAAACACTAACACAAACATGGCAAACATCAACACTGGGTTTATATTCACTCTGCAAAAAAACCAACAAACTGAAAACAGGTCCAACTCTTGAAAGTCCTACTGAAATCTCTCCTCCTAGACAAATCCTCCCCTAACGACCCACAATCAGATGTGGAGTCTCCTCTGACTCCTAATAGCACTTTGTCCTCTTCACCGCACCTGCATTCTAATTTACTTTAGAGGCTTTGTGAACTCATCCACCCTCCACTCCATCTTTCAGTCTGTATGTTTCCTAAGGGCAGGCAAGTATCTTACTCATCTTTCTGTTTCTCTGGCCAAGTTCCTTACACAAAATAAATCCTCATTAAACATCTGACATTAAGGAAATAATGATGGAATGTAAGAAGAAAGCAAAGAATGGATAAGGATAATGGTTAAACATGATGAACACTGTTAATGTCACTGAACTGTACATGTGAAGATTGTTGAATTGACATATGCTTTGTTACACGTATATATATATACATGTATATGTGTGTGTGTGTGTGTGTGTGTGTATATATATATATATATATATATATATATATATATATACACACATATATATACGTATGCACATGTCTATATACCCACCCACTGCCATCAAGTCGAATCTGACTCATAGCAACCCCTCCTTGGGTTTCCGAGGCAGTATCACTATGGAAGTAAATCACCCAACCTTCCTTCCGAGGAGTGGCTGATGGGTTTGAACTGCCAACCTTCTAATTAGCAGTCAAATCCCTAGGTACTACCCCAATGTCTATATACATACATACATATAAACCAAACTCACTGCCACTGAGTCAATTCTAACTCATAGTGACCCCCATTGGGTTTGCTGAGGCAGTAAAACTTTATAGAAATAGATTGCCTCATCTTTCTTCCATAAGCAGGTGGTGGGTTTGAACCACTAACTTTCTTATGGGCAGTCAAATGCCTTAGACACCACATCACCAAAGCTGCACATATATATTTACCACAATTAAAAAAGAAAAAGGTAGAAAAGTTATCCCCTAAGAGGCTAGAATTACAAGGATGTTGACTTTTTCTTCAATCAGTTATGCAATAACACCTTCCTTTAATGGTGATAAGGAGCTCTGACGGCACAGTGCCTAATGCGTTTGACTCTTCACCAGAAGGTTGGTGGTTCCAACCTACCAGCTACTGCACTGAAGGAAGATGGGACAATCTACTTCCCTAAAAGATTACCACCTTGGAAACCCAATGGGGATCACTATGAGTCAAAATTTACTTGATGGCAGTAAGTTTGGTTTGGTTTTGGTTTTAATGGTGATAAATATCCCTTAAAACCAGGGGTTTTAAACTACGTTTATTTTACTCTAGGCTTCACAGGAGAAAGAAGTGACTGTTTATTTCCACAAAGATTTATGGCCTTGGAAATCCCATGTGGCAGTTCTATTTTGTCTTATATGGTCACTATGAGTCAGAATTGATTTAGCAGGTTTGGTTTTTGATTTTGGAGTACTACAGGTTTGGAGCACTAGCTCATATAACAAGTACTAAAATATAGTAGTAAGGTCATAGTACTGTGCCCCCAAAGACCATGACAATTAGTGGCCAAAGAGACTAACTGTCCATTTCTAGAAAACTTCTTAAAATTCTTTAGTTTCTTCTCCCCTCCTCCAATCTGTATTCCTACTCTAGATTCTTTCAGGTCCTAAGAAGGCAAAGCTTTACTTCTGAAAAAGCACAGTGCTTGATATATTCTTACTTACGTATTTATTCAGCTTCTACACGACAAAACAAGCTAAAATAAAATTTCTTAGTGAAAGACTAAGATGTCAGCTTAAATCAGCTTTACAAATAAACTAAAATTTACACACACATGGAGAATTATCTACTTGCTTTTATCCTACCCACACCAAAATGTCTGGACCCTTACTTCTTACAAAATTATTTCCCCTTCACTCAGTAGCTCTATCCTTCATGACTAATTCTAAGCAGCTCCAGTCATTCCAAGCAGTGTGGAAAAATCTCATAAGAAATAAGCACATGTCTGTAATCCATCAGCATTCTAGTCAGCAGTCTGGATCACAGATCTGTCATAATCATTATCACATTATCCGAAGGCCAAGCTGAATTTACAGGCAGTGAGTGTTTGTGATGGTTTAGCATAGTATGGAATGATAAAAAGCCATCGTTGGGGCAGTGTATAGCTTTTATTGAATGAACGACAGTTCAGAGCAAGGATAGAGAAGGGAAAGTCTAAGAAAGATACACTATTCAGTAGTGAGTCAGCCAAAGTCGGCAGAACAGCAAGCTGACTTCACTCCTTGGCATATGGATGTAATGATCCAATGAAAAAGAAAGCTATGAAGAATGGCTGCAAGGCACTTCCTGTGCAGATAAGGAATTATGCTGTTGTTTTAACTGTTCGTGGCAGAGGAAAGAGCCACTGTTTATCGAGTTCCTACTTTGTGCCAGGTATCATCCCAAGTGCTTAACATCATTATCACTAATACTGATCAATACTGTGGCAGGTAAGCTACATGGAACTACAGCAAAAAATACGGTTTGTCATCTTGGAGCTGTTCATTTTAATCATTTCTTTCTAAGCATTTAATTATTTATTTCTATGCATTATTTTTATGTTAATTACACACATATAGATATATTTAGACAACGAAAAACTCAGTGTGAAGGGAACTGCTTACTCTTGTGCTCCAGACCTGACATATTTGCTTTCAATTTCATCTATCACAGGTGTTGTTTCATTGAGAAACTTTAAGAGGCTCTAAGGATATTAAGACAATAGAGTAAAAATGTTTAATGAAGTCCCAGATTTCTTCTCAGTGACAAAGTACCAGTACTGGCAAGGACTATGGGCTATGGGGAACAAATTACTCACAAATGAATCCTAGATCCACCAATTAGTAGACAAGTAACCCGGGACAAGTTACTTAACTTCCGAATCTCAGTTCCCTTTTCTATAAACAGGCCAATTATTTATTGTACCTATCTCCAAGAGCTGTGGTGAAGATTAAATAAGACAATTCACGCAAAATATTCAGTGCCTAGAACGTAAGTACTCTGTAAATGTTCCAAACCAAACCAAACCCACTGCCATGGAGTCAGATCCGACTCATAACAAACCCCCTTGGGTTTTCAAGGCGGTATCACTATGGAAGTGGATTGCCCAACATTCCTTCTGAGGAGTGGCTGGTGGGTTTGAACCACCATCCTTTTAGTTAGCAGTCAAATGCCTTAGGCACTACACCACGAGAGCGCCTAGTGATAAAATTTTTAAAAAGTAGGAATTGTTCGTGAGCTCACTCACAAACACTGAAAAGATAAGTAATAAGTAAGATAACAGGAAGTTATTTATTGTAGGGTCTTATATAGTGCGGGAAAAAAAACTCACTGCCATCGAGTCGATGCCTACTCATAGCTAACCCCTTAGGGTTTCAGAGGTAGTAAATGTTTACAGTAGTAGATTGCCCAGTCTTCCTTCTACGGAATGCCTGATGGGTTTAACTGCAACCTTCTGGTTAGCAAATGTATTAGGCACTATGCCACCAGAGCTCCTTTACATAGTAAAAGGGACAGATTTTGCACAGGGTGACTACTACGCCATGGATCCAGTAGAGGTCAACTTCTAAGTACTGAAAGGTCAAGCAAGCTGAGAGCTAGACTACACTCTAGATTCTAGAGGGATTTGCCTGTGGAATTCTGAGGGACAGGAAGAGCACTCACGGAAATCATGGACCTATCGGCACTCTCCAAGAAACTGGCCAGGGGATTAATGCTTTCACTGCCCAAAAGATTCATTTCAAATACAAATCACCATGTAAAATAAAATTACTCAAAGGGCATTTTAGGGATGATCAGGAGAATTTAAATATGGACTGGTTGTTTGTTGTTGTTGTTGTTGTTGTTGTTGTTGTTTGCCATGGAGTCAGCCCGACTCATAGCGACCCCTCCTTGGGTTTCCAAGGCAGTATCATTACGGAAGTAGGATTGCCCAACCTTCCTCCCGAGGAGTGGCTGGTGGGTTTGAACCACCAGCCTTCTGGTGAGCAGTCAAGTGTCTTAGGCACTATGCTACCAGAGCTCCCCATGGACTGGTTATTAGACATAAGGAATTACTCATGATAGTTGATTTTTTTAATATGTAAGAAAATTATTAGAGTTTCACATTATCATTTATTTTAAAACACTTCAACATGAAAAAGTGAGTTCATAAAAAACTTCAAAGATTCTCAAATGCATTTAAGAGTTAAAGGAGCATAGCGTATAAATAGAGTGAAATATCATTTATGGTCCAAACTGGGAAAATGCTGAGTGAAAGGGGAACTGTGCCTGGAGAACAAGCATAAACCAGACCAGGCCAGCTGCACACCCATTCTGTGATCTCCTTTCCCACTGCCTCTCACCACCCATGATTCCAACAGAACATTCCAACAACAGTGGAATGTACTCCGTGGATAGACCAAACTGGTTTTCTCTGGATACCTTCTCTGAAACAAGTTCTTGCCTCTGCCTAGAATGCTCTTTGTCCCCAGACCCTCCCACTCATCTGGCTAGCACCAGAAAACAAGATTCATCCTCTCTTCAGATTGGTTTAGATGTCTGCCTCAGTGGTCATCTAGCACCCTGCCAATCCACAGCATGCTATAATCGTTCATGTATCTCCATGATACAATACAATAACAATAAAAGCTATCCTCTGTCAAGGTTTACTAAACTGCCAAGCACTGTGCATCCATCCACTCTATGTGGATTATCTCATTTATCTTCACAACCCCCCTAAATCCAAAACTAAACTCACTGCCAACAATTCCAACTCATACCAACCCCCACTGGCTTTCCAAGGTTGTAAATCTTTAAGGAAGCAGACTGCCTCATCTTTCTTCCACAGAGCGGCTGGTGGTGGTTAGTGGGTTCAAACCACCAACGTTTTGGTCAGCAGCCAAATGCCTTAACCACTACATCATTAGTCCTCCTACCACCACCCTACAGGTAGGTAAAATTATTAACCCTACTTTGCAGATGAGAAAAGAGAAGCAGAGAGCTATCACATGTCTAGTCAGTGCTATAAAGCCTGGGGATGAATTTTGACAGTCTGGATTGCACCTCTACATAAAGAAAACAAAAATCCTCACAACAGAAATCAAAAAGCACATCATGATAAATGGAGAAAAGATTGAATTTGTCAAGGATTTCATATTACTTGGATTCATAATCAATGCCCATGGAAGCAGCAATCAAGAAATCAAATAACATACTGCACTGGGAAAATCCGCTACAAAAGACCTCTTGGAATTGTTAAAAAGCAAAGATGTCCCTCTGAGGACTACAGTACACCTAACCTAAACCATGGTGTTTTCACCCGACTCATGCATATGAATAAGGAAGATGGAAGAAATATTGATGCCTTTGAATTATGATGTTGGCAAAGAATCTTTCATATACCATGGACTGGTAGACAAATGAACAAATCTGGTTTGGAAGAAGTACAGCCAGAATGTTCTTTAGAAGCAAGGATGTTGAGACTTTGTCTTAGGTACTTTGGACATGTTATCAGCAGGGATCAGTCCCTAAAGATGGACTTCATGCTTGGTAGAGGGTCAGCAAAGAAGAGAAAGACCCTTAAAGCTACAGTCTGACACAGTGGCTACAATAATGTGTTCAAACATGTCAACAACTGTGAAGACGGTACAGTACTGGGCATGCTTCATTCTTGTACATAATGTCGCTATGAGTTAGAACTGACTGAACGGGACCTAACAACATCAACAACAACAAAAGTCCTATTTCGACCATATTCCTTTTGAGTAATCTATTAGATCTCCGAATGGAAATGTCAAATAGGTAGTTTGGAAATGTAACTTAAAATTCCAGGGATAATTAAGAGCTGGACATATAGATTTAGGGGTTAATAACATACAGACTGTATTTAAAGCCACAGGACAAGTTAGAAGCCTTTAGGTGACAGGTATAGTTAGAGAAGATGGGGGGCCTGAAACAGAGCTTTAAGACATCCCAGCATCTGAGCAGAAGAGGGGTCATTAAAGAAGACTACAAAGGAGCAGTCAGTGAGAGGGGAGAAAAAACATAGAATATAATGTCCACAAGCCAAGGGAGGAAAGTATTTCAAAAAGAATGGATGGATCCACCTTGTTAAAAGGTGCTAAGAGGGCAAGAATAAATACCAGTGGATTTAGTGACCTCAAAGTGAATGATGACCTTGACTTTACCTACCTAAGCTTCACTAGAGTGGCTGAAGAGAGAATGTGAAGAAGATGACATGACTACGTATTACAAAAAAGTGTTTCTGAGAAAAAGGAGTGGAAGAATGGTTGCCATAATAGAGGTGAAGGTAAAGTAAAGAGAAGGCTGTTTCTGAATTTAAAGAGAGGAAGTACCAGAGTACTGATTAATCAAAAGCACACTATTCCTAAACCTGACTGCAAAGAAAAAAAATGAAGGGAACTGTCAAGTCAAGTGGGGAAAAATTAAGAGAGAAGGAATGAAGGCAGCTAGTAGCAGAAGCCAAGTTTCTGAAGGACATTAGAGATTGTATTCTTAGATGGAGCTCTAATGGCACACTGCCTGAAGCATTTGACTACTAACCAAAAGGTTGGTGGTTCAAACCTACCACCTGCTCTGTGGAAGGAAGCTAGGGCAATCTACTACTGTAAAGATTTACCACTTGGAAACCCAATGGGGGTCACTGTAAATCAGAATCAACTTGATGGCAGAGGGTTTTGGTTTAATCTTAGATGAATGGTCTTTGATTAGAGCTATTTTATTTCTTTATGTCTTCCTTCCTGGACACACTGAATTTTATTAACGTATTTAAAATATAGAACTTCTTGCATCTCCATCTAAATGAATTAAACTCACGGATGAGTAAATACCAATAAAAACTTACCAAAATTTTATCCTGCTTTGACCTCACAGATGCTCCAAACCACTGGTGAGACTTAAACTCCAATGGATCATCCTTGGCATAATCTCTGTTGCCTAAAAAAAGAATATTTGAATGAAGAATATTTGAATGTGAGAAGAAAATATATAATATCTTAATATAACAATGTATTTCTATCCAGCCAGGCTTAGAAATAGAGTGCTTTTGATTAATCATATACTACATTGATCATTTATCTCACATACTTTATATGCATTAGGGACTTCCAACAAATCAGAAAAATAAAACACATAACTTAGAAGTGCCTTGGGGTTGTTAATAACCCTATCAATGATCATAATGCAGATGTAAAAAAGTAATTGTAAATGAAGTTTTCTAGTTGCTAAATTATTAGATAATTAATTATTAAACAAATACTTATTGATTACCCACTACTCTTAATGTTTTTTTTTAGCAGTATAAAGATGCTTGGGAACTCTAGTGGAATAGTTCACTATAAAGTTTTTATGAAAATAAAAGGTTATAAAACTTCATTGCATAACAGTGGTAGCAAAACATAAGACTAAAACTTATGCCATAACACTATTACACAAGAGTTAGAATCCAGGAAATACAATTTGGCTAGTAGCTAGCAATAATTAGATTTAATATACTACACTTAAACACATATTAAGACTTCATACTACTGAGAAAAATACTCCTCATGCACCAGGCACTCATGTAAAGCACTATAGATTTAAAAAAAAAAAAAAGATTAAAACCCTTTCCATAGAAAACCCCTTGACCTAGTTAAGGAGAAAATTATGGAATATATACACAAAGTATTTTGGGAAAACTAAAAACCAAAGTCACTGCCATCAAATTGATTCCAACTCATAGCATCACTATAGGACAAAGTAGAACTTCTTCATAGGGATTCCAAGGCTAACATCTTTATGGAAACAGACTGCCACATCTTTCTCCCGAGGAGTAACTGGTGGGTTTGAACCACCAACCTACTGGTTAGCAGCTGAGTACTTAACCACTGCATCACCAGGGCTCCTATGACAAGAAGGAGGGGCTAATGATTCTTAAACTCCAGTTTGTCCCTCTTAAAATCTGTTTATAATAATCACTCTTTAAAAACATATATTTCCATAATGTATTAGACAAACAAAATGTAGAAGTGTCAATTTGTACGATGCAGGCCAACATGTAAATGTCACCAAAAGATTTGGTTAAATCAGTTCCCTAAATCCCGTCCCATCCAAGGTAATGCTTAGGGCTAGTCAATTCTATTATGAAGACTTAAGACCAACTGAATAGTTATAAATAATAATTGAGATCTTAATAATGCCAGGTGTCTTACAGGCAAAGGGAAATATATAATGTTATTCCCTATTCTTTCAACTTTTCCATTGTTTAATTTTTAAAATAAATGTGTCAATCTTTACAGTCTTCCATATCTAGTCTCAATAAAACTGTTCTTTGTCAGTGATCACAAAAACATGTATTTTATATGTAGAGAGAAGGAAGAAGGTGAAATGGAACTAGCTAATTTTCCCATCACCATAGAAACCACAACAATGGTCAGTTTGTCTCTTAAGTCAATACTCACCATGTTGCCCGCATTGGAAACAACATGCAACAATGAACTACAAATTGAAATATTCCATGCACTCCCCTACATTTCTCATCTTCCCATGGTTAGTTTGAAGTATGTAACTAGTTCTTGCCAATAAACTAAGAGTAGAAGTACTGTATGTCACTTCCAAGTCAAGTCAGCTAAGAAATATGACTTCATGTGTTCTACCTCCCTCCCATCCATAAGGCTGGGAGAACAGTGGAATCACTAGATGTAAGCAGTCCTAGCCCAAGTCTCCAAGCCACCAAGAAGAACTAGACAACCTACAGTAGATGGTGACATGAGCAAGAAATAATCTTTTTTTAAAAAAGTCATTGAGATTCGACAACTCATTTGTAATTCATTTGTAATTGAATCATACTGTTAGTGAAGGACAGCCTAACACATCCTGAATAATGTATATTCCACAAGATATCTACAAGCATAATGCTTTTCCTACAATCACAAAGAAGCTTAGCTACTTGAATGGGATTCATTTAAGGGTTTTTAGGTATTTTAGTCATAAAATTTACAGTTAGAAGTTATTTAATGGACTTTTTTTTTTTTTTACTTCATTGTAAGCTATCTACGTTTTCTTAGTGTATGACTTTCTAATCTATTTCTTACTACAAGGCAAATGAAGGCATTTTCCCTGTCCTGTGCATTAATGAAGCAGAAGAAATGCAGTAGAACTATGAAAGAAATGGCTGGTGCTTGGAAAGATTCACCTCTACTCACTGTTCCTTGAGACCATAAACATTATGATAAACTCATGTAATCTTAACCAGTCTTAAAAGTCCTTAAAGATGGAGCTAAGTGTATGAGCTACTATAGTTGAACAAGAGAACCATCTCACAACTGCTACCTCCTACTTCTGCTTTAATTTAAAACACAGCCATAAAAGGGAATATACTCAGGACCGTATATAAGTTTGGCAGATGATATTTCTATGTATGTATTTGTATGTGCTATAAGAATGTTCATATACAAAACTCAAAATCATGTAGAGAAAAAAAAGCGGGGGGGGACCAGGTTTGCTGGTCTGATAGAGCCTGGTGGAACCACTGAGACTATGTTCCCTAGCTGCCCTTCATGTCTGGAATTGAACCCACATCCGTGGTTTCCAGCCAAACAAAAGACAGGCATATGAGTTGAACATTTACCTCAGGTAGATACACTCCTTGGAGAGAAAAATCATGGGAGAAAGAA